CCCCCCTGCCCTGGGCAGCCCATTCCAACGCCCAACAGCCCCTTCTGCACAGAAATCCTTCCTCAGAGCCAGCCTGACCCTGCCCTGGGCAGCTTGAGGCCATTCCCTCGGGGCCTGGCGCTGGCTCCTTGGCTCCAGAGACTCATCCCCCCTCTCTGCCCCCTCCTGGCAGGGAGTTGCAGAGGGCCAGGAGGTCTCCCCTCAGCCTCCTCTTCTCCAGACTGAACCCCCCCAGTTCCCCCAGCTGCTCCCCAGCAGACCTGTGCTCCAGACCCTGCCCCAGCTCTGTTGCCCTTCTCTGGCCACGCTCGAGTCATTCAATGGCCTTTTTGGGGTGAGGGGCCCAAAACTGAACCCACTCATCGAGGGGCGGCCTCCCCAGTGCCGAGCCCAGGGCTCAGATCCCTCCCTGTCCCTGCTGGCCACGCCAGTGCTGACACAAGCCAGGACGCCACTGGCCCAGGATACCACGGCTGGGTCGATGTCTGCAGACATTGCTCCAAGAAACCAACTCACTTGCTTAGCTCCCGGTTTCTGGTCCATGGGCGTCATCCGTAAGGTTTTTGCCTCTTTTTCATACTGGCAGTAGTATTTCACCCAGGAGATGCCCAGCGCCCCTGCAGAGACACATGGGAGCTGGAGTCAGGCATGGTGCCGCAGTTGGGCGCAGCCGGCGAGGCCCAGCTGGCTCTGCCCCTGGGCACGCAGACCACCGGCCCTGCGGGGATACCTCCCCCTCCGCGCCAGCGCCTCCGTGGGCAAGAGCCAGGAGGACGAGGAGGAGGAGAAGGAGAGGAGCGTGGGGTAGCAGCCGCCTCCAGCACCCTCCCAAACAGCGGCTGGTGAAAGGGCATTTGTGGGACTCTGGGCTCAAGCCAGGCTGGTTTGGCCAAGTCCAGCCAAGAGCTACACTGGCAGGATCCTACGTGTCCGGAATGCCTCCTTCACACACAGACTGCTATTTCTTCCTGTTGATGAAAACTTGGCAGTAAAGACAACAGCATCTTTAAAGCACTCTAAAGTTCCTATTTATATCACACTAGATTGATTGTCGCTTTTCTTTGTTGTCTTACCTGAACCCCTTCATATGAAATACTTCAACTGGCATTTTTTCGGTAATTTTATTTAAGTTGCAGTGTCAGGAGGAACAACTCTCCTTGTACTTGCTTTACAGGGGAAACATAGAGGCAGCAAACAGCCATTGGCATGCAGGAACATGCAACATTTGCTTGTGGTCTAAAACTACTATCTGTTTTCTTCTAAAGGCAGGGTAAACATCCCCATAAATACACATATAAATACATTTCTATCTGTCATCCGAAACTGAACTGCTCAAGAGTAAGCTGTCTGTAGACTCAGAGGCTTTTGTCTCCTGAGTGTTCATGCTTGCGTGGCCATGGAAAGCTACAGTATTTGTGAAAGACTGACTTTGGTTTGGTTGGATTCTGCGCAGAACCACAGCAGGTTTGGTCTCAGCAGTTTAACTCCCAGCGCTGGTTACCGCCCAAGCTGTGCTCAGGAGCCCTCGGAGAGGCTGCGCGAGGGGAGCCGGGCAGGACACAGCCATGGTGTGATCTGCCAGAGCTCTGCTCTCTCCAGCGCCTCAACTGAGGAATAAATCTCCTCTAATTTGAGCATAGGGCAATTAGCCCCTTGCTTACATGGCTCATGTAAGCTGGAGGGAGTGCTGTGCCACCCCTGAGAAAGCTGGCAGCTGAGGCTGCTGGTGATTCCCGGGGCAGTGCAGCACAGGGCCGGGCTCAGCCCAGGCAGTGGCCCCAGGCAGGACAGCACAGGCCCACGTGTTCTCTACTGCGTTCAGGCACAAATAAAAGCCATTACATTTCTCCTGAGTGTACAGATAGCCCTCAATGGTTGGCTGCCCAGGGAGCTTGCAGGTTAGAGGAGCTTCCTTCATCCTCTTCTTCAGGTCTTCCAGCTCCTCCCGCGTGCTGGAGAAATGATTCCTCGTCTGTTAAGAGAAAAGGAAAAAGAAGCACATGTGAATGTGAGTGAAGAGCAAGCTTCAGGTATTCTTGGTCAAATTTTAGGTGCTCCAGCAGGAAATGGATCAGTCCCAATGCACGGAAGGCAGAAAACACGCTACAAATTCACAGAACTCCAGCTGCAGGAACAGCTGGTCTCTCAGAGATGACTGAAGAGACAAGGTTTAACACACCGTGTGGGTGTTGAGGAGCCAGGCCTGGGAGGACACCCATTCTTTTGGCAAAAGAGATGTAGCCCATTTTAAGGCTAGGTGGAGCAGAAGGAAGCACCTGAACTCCCCTTTGCACCATTGTTTAGGTAGCAGGTGTGTTCTACAAAACTAAGGCGTTGATCCCTCAGATCGTGCTACACTGCTTGGCATGAAATCATTTGTAAAGAGCCACGTCAACACGGGGTACACAACCAAGGCATTTTTACAGAACACCACTTAGACCAATTAACAAGCCAGCAGCAATCCCAGCTTGGCACCGATCTGCGGCTGCTGTTCCACGGGGATGAGGGCCAGCCACGGAGGGGAGGGTAAAAGAAACAGGGTGCAGGGATTTTACCCCCCGAGTGCACTTTGCCAGCGGAGGAGCACGATGCCATTAAGATCGAGATTGGAGGCCTTTTCAGAAGACGTGCACAGTTTCAGCATCATGAACTGGAAGAAATTCTCCGGCTTGTTTATGTGCAAGGTTAAAGGACACAACTGCAGCAGCCCCTTCTAGACAAACCCTGTAATAGGACCTGCTGACTCTCTTGTGCAGGAGGAGAAAATACAAGTGAACTGAGACGGAAATAACGTTATCTGCACCTCCCACAATGCAAACATGGAGTCTATTTTGCATGGAAAAATCATTGCCACCAGAGGCGTTTAAATACAAATGAGAATGGAAGTCACATGCAAAAAATACTTCAGCTGGGCAGGGACTCACATTCTGCAGGCTGAGCTGAAGCTGCTGTTTGTAAGGGAGGAAATCCTGCGTGAGCTCGACTGTCAGGTTGTTGTAAGTAAAGAGGCTGTGGAGAAAAGCCAACACCTGCAAAGGAGGGAAAGGACACAGATTAAACTTCTCTTCTGTATTTTTAATCAGAGGAAAGATAGACAGGAAGCGGGGCTTCAGAAATTACATACACAATTTATTTCTTTTTTCTTTCTTATGGTTTTGGAGTGATGCAAGTCTTTGCATGACTTATCCACCACAATGTCCCCAAAGCCCAGGTCTACCACCCACACATCTGTCTCAATAAAACACACCCGAAATGAAGGACCCTGCTGGGAGAACACGAGCAGATCTGCAGCCTGCTTGTCCACGAGTCCAGCACGATCCCACGCTCGCCTGCATCCGACGCCAGGGCAGAGCCACCCGGCCAGGGCAGGGTCCCTGTAGGCAGCCCCAGCTGGGAGCAGATAACAGCCTGTGCCAGATAGCAGCTCCCTCCCTCTGAAGACAGCTAATGCTTACCAAACACAAGGTGACCAAGGTAATTCATAACCAGACCTCCAGCTACCTACACCGTCCAGCCTGTTCCTCAGGGTTGACTTACAGACATGAGAAACAAGTCTGTGGCCTCACAGTGCTCCAGCAAACACCACCGAGGCTGTTAAGCTGCAGCAATCCAAGCGTGCAAGGTTAAATCCTGCTCCATCACAGGACTCCCCAGGGCTGGATCCAACCTGGCAACTCATCCCTTCCTGCGACTGCCAGCAGGTCAGCATATCTGAGCATCAAACAAGGCCCGAAAGAAAAGGAAGCTCTTACCGGTTCAACAATACTGAATTTCTTGCTCTCCTGTACTTCCTGGATCTGGTACACATACTCGAGGGAGGACTCAAAGAAATTGTGTCTCTCTTTGTCAACCTGAAGGTCAGCCTGGAAGGAAGAGGGAGAGGTGAAAAAAGAAAATACATCACATGGAGCTTGACAATATTTGACTGGCGCTTGTCTGTCAGCCCACCCACAGCTCTGACCTCCCTGCAGACCGCGCCGCCCGAAGGGGCCCTGTCTGGGTTCTGAACACCTTGTGCAGAGCCAGAGAACACAACATCAGCCCTTCTTCTCCGCTCTGCCCTTTCCTGCCTCCCTTGCATTTATGGATCCAAACCTCAGCCCCTCTGCAAGGACAAGCCCTTCCCGAGGCGCGCTTTGTTATTTTAGCAGGAGCTCCTTCCCCACCCGCAGCCCCGCACCGGTGGGGACGCGGCCACTGCCACCAGCCTCTCCCCTGACTCCAGCTGCGCCCCAAAACCAGCAATGAAGAGCTGCAGCCCCGGGTGGGACAAGGCGGAGCGCCGTGTTACCCCAGCTTACACAGATTCTGCCTTGCAAAGATGCTTGTAGGGTGATCTGACAACCGGTTTGACAGATTTGATTTGATTCAGGTACTCTGGGTGGGCTGGAGCAGCCGGGGCTTCCCCTTCTCACTGCAACGTGTTTGGCAGCAGCATGAGCTGGGAGGGTCCCCCCCTCCCCTGCCTGCTGCCCCTGCAAACTCCAGGAGCCAGGCAGGAAGCTCGGCTGACAAAAATACTCATAACCAGTCATTTTTCAGCCAGATCAGTTCCCCAAGGCAGGTGAAAGGGTGGCCAAGGCCCCGCTGTGCCAGTAAAACTGGTCACTGCCCTGTACTGTGAGGGGGAGAAGGGGCGGTGACAATGCACGCAGCCACCACGACCGTTCAGCACACTAAGGAGAACTAAAATCTCCATGTCCCTGGTCTCATCCAGAGAACCTAGGCTTTGGGTAGATTTAAGTGCTTATCGGTTTCAACTGGTCACTGAAAGGGATGATTTCCCTCCCTTTTTTAAGATCTGGAGCAGCTGGTGGTGCTGGTTCTGGACCCAGCTCTGAAGAAAATCCCCCACCCACCTCCTGTAATTGGGATTCCTTCTTTTTGGAAGACAAGTGCAAATGGCGATCCAGCATAGAATAAAACTTCTCACCATCCTTCTCAAACTTTTTCTTTCTTTCCTGTAGATGCAAGAGTTGAAGCAGAACCGGTTATTGGCATTTTCCAGGTAAGAACATGCAACACCACCAAGACCTCTCCTGCAATTCAGTGTTCCCACGGAAATATTCTGGCTGACCCGCGAGAGCAGGAGGACACTTGCCCTGCTTTCACAGCCTGTTGCCTACACCAGATTTAGTTAAGCCTCAAGCCCAACCCTGGCAATGCCCGTGGCACTTGAAATATTCCGTTGTGTTAACAGTGTGGCAAGAGCCCCAGCGACGAGGTACTGCTCCCCTCTCAATATCTTCAGGGCCAGGTAGACCCGAGATGTGCTAATACATCACAAACCTGTTCACCACTCGCTAACGTGCTGCTCACACAGTTCAGAAACAACTGGGCAAACATTTTAACATCAAAGACGTGTCTGAGATAAGGAAAGATTTTCAGGAGTCTGGCATTTTTCTGTTCTGAAGTTTTTATCACATGCTTTTGAAAAGCATCAGAATGAAAGCAGAAAACTGGAAGGGCAACACGTGGGAGGGAAGTCATCATCTCTATTAGCCGTGGAGGAAAGAGACCACAAACCCTGCAGCCAGAACGTACCCGTTTTGCCCAGGGGAGCTGTTTTACAACACCCCCCCCCGCAGGCGGGTGGTCTGGTTCCCACTGACCTACTGTGCCTCTCCAACGTGCCCACCACAGGCCTGCAAACGCCACGTGCCGGCTGGTTTGTTGAGGGAAAAAGACTTTGTGAAGGAACTACTGTAACAGAGGGGTTTGCACTGGCAAACCTGAAAGGGTAAATGTCTGGAACGAGAGCAAAAAGAGACACTTAAGAAGGAAAGCCAGAGAGAAGGCAGGGAGGAGCGGAGCTGAGAACCAGGCTGCTCGCTCACACTGACCGCGGTGGCCATCGGGAGACAACCGTGAGGAGAAGCCAGGTTGAGAAACACCCACATCAGATGGCAACCGAGCCATCAGGGACTGCTGAGAGGCAGCTGAATTGCTAAAGTAAGGAAACTCCAGGCTGGCAGCAGCCTCAACGCCAGGCCCACGCAGCGATGACCAGCGTACACATACTACAGGGTACATATGGGAGGCCCAAACCCTCCGCCTCGCTTCTGACAGCTCGCGGGAGTGGAAAGCGGCGTTCGGAAATCCCAGCCTCCTGTGGAATTAAAGGTATCGTTCAACAGTTATCTCCTAAACGCCCTGAAATCCTGTTCTCTTGCCCCCATTCAGAAATTCGTGAATAAGCAAACGCACACCACGGAGCAGAGCAGACGGACTCTGCCAGACTTGGGGATGTGAGCTGCTTTCCTCACGAATTCAGCAGTGCCCGCAAAGTCTGAAGCCGCGTTTCCTACATACAGCCCTTTCTCTGTCTTTAGCCAGTTCTCCTGCCACTGAGTTTTGCCCCCCCCATTCCACCCGCACGGACTATTCAGTCTGTCTAACAGGGTGTCCTCCACAGCAGGCTGCCTGGGGGCTCCCCGTGCCCGTCCTCTGGCTCAGCACAGTCCCCCCCTGCCCACACACCTGCTTTCCTCGTGGCCCCTTCTGCTGCCTTCCTACAAAAAGGATTCCTCTGCCCCCAAGAGCGCCCTGTTTCTCTAATCCTGGCAGGCTGCTACTGTGAAAGCACAATTACTATGGAAAAACACCGACCTGACTATCCCTGCTCGCAGTGAACTGTCTGGAGAAGGGCAGGCTTAGACCAGCAAACCTTTTTACGGCCGTAATTACACCTCCAGAGACCCTGTAATTACCAGAGCCCTGAAGGGAAGTGCAACTTCTGGTCTCATCCTCTGCAACGTCAGGGATACTGCAACTCTGCGTTAGCAAGTTCATGCCACGGAATAAAAAGAGATCCCTATCAGATCCAGAGGAGAGAGTCCTCCAAGGGTGAAACCTAATTTAAGCAGCGCTGCAGCTGGGGAGCCGTGGCCAGGACGGACTGTCAAAACAAAACACCACCCTCGTGACTAACGCCCTGAGAAGTAAACCCAAACCCGGAGAGGCAAAAGCGTTTGCGAAGCAGCAGTGACCGTGGCCGTAAGGTCACACTTCCAGATCGGCTGTCTGCACCATTAGTTGCCTCGTCTAACGCAGCTGGGAGCCGAGGCTCGTTTCCACCTCCAATACGAGGAGAAACCAAGCCCACTGTGGGTGGCCACGGTGCCTGTGCAGATGGCCGCAGGACCACGGCTGCAGGGCTGGCCACGCGCCGGCACCCTGGCAGAGCTCTGCCCCAGCTCACCCGGGCAGCGCCCCGCGGAAGCCGCGGCCCGTCCCGCGGCAGAGGGTCATCTCTGCGGCGGAGAGGTGGGTGGGAAGAAACGAAGAGCAGTGGAAGAGCTTCTCCTGCAGCAGGAGCCCGGGGGCCAGCGAGCAGCTCCTTCGGGGTGTGCCCCCCTCCGGCAGTGTCCGCGGGGGGGTGCGGAGCCCCGGGCTCTCCCCGGGACCGAGGGATGGGGAAGGACGGCGAGGCTCGCTCCTGCCGTGTGGAGAGCAGCGCAGCACAACGGCACTTCTGGCCACTAAAAGGGGCTTGCCAATCACTCCCCACTCGGGCTGATGAATATATAACTGAAAAGCAGAAGGATGAACTACAAATCCCTCCTGATTGTCAAGCCAAGGCTTCTAACAGCTTGTTGGCTGCTGAACAGAGCAAGCCAAGATGAAAACAACACAAAAAAACCACCCAGACTGAAGCGCAATCTGGAAACATGAGCACAAATTAATTCCTCATGAATATTCAGCAAAGGACAGCATTACCTTCCCACTGAGATTGGCCAAGTCCAAGAAGCCACCCAACTTCCAGTTATTTGCTGGGCAGGAGGAAGCGAGGCGGTTCCAGCTGGCTGTGGGGAGGGCGGGTGCTCTGCCACAGCTTCGCTCGGGGCGCAGCAGACGCTGCCCGGGATGCACAGGTGGACCCGGCACCCGCGGCGAGCTCTGCGGAGCCCACGGCAGGAGCAGCCGAGGACTGGGGCGGAAAGGGGCGAATGGACGTGCCAAAACTCCCCGTTAACCGTTACCTGCTAATTAGGAGCCTCTGAAGTGCAGTGGGAGAAGAGGCAGAGCGAGCTGCAAGCGCAGCGCCCGGCTGCTTCTCTTCTTCAAGAACAGCAAAACCGGAGAGAATCGGGAGCCTCCACCTCGGAAGGCGCCACCGGGGGCTGGGCGGAGGGTCAGCCCCCAGCGG